TGGTACCTACCGCTCGAATAAGACAATCCTCATTTTCCCCTAGCTGTCTCTTGTACAACACCCCCTGGCGGCGTACAGTGATGTTTCTGGGCATGTGTTCTTATGCAATTCTTAATCCTTATGATGTGTCCTACCTTCCCCAGAAGTTTGTTGCAAAATTTATGGGACACCCTGTATATAGGATATATTGTAGTATCTGAGACTACAATCAGATTTGGTAATTACAATAAACTGATGTCTTTTTTCACTGATTTTAGCAACATACTTATTCGTAAGTCCTTAAATAGAGTACGTGTCTCCGTCTAACCCAATAGCGATGGTTGATTCCATTGTTAACTGCCTGAGGGGAAGGATAACATCAATGAGAACTTTTAAAGAGAACGTAGCTCGGATTCCAAATGTATACTTCTATTAGCCCCGGAACCTTGACAGGAACAGCACTTGAATCACTGCAAAGCATCTTTAGCGCATTAAAGATCTCGAGCATGAAAGACGAGACCCTACTTGCTGAAAAGTTAAAATTCAATGATCATTCTTAGTTTAATACTATTTTCTCTTCTTAGAAATAAAAGCAGTTAAACGCTTATAAAACTACTAATTATAGCTACTCTTTAAAAGGGGTATACAGGGTATATTTAGCGGACGCCAAAGAAGTAAGCTCTTTATTTGTGAGTGTATGGTTATGCATATTATATTACGTTACATTATGTGAGCAGTAACTTATAATTATTTCCGTCTTAAAAGCACGCGTTCTAAAATGCCTGGAGATCGCTGGGTTAGACGAAAAGACATTTTTTATGTTGAAAATATTAATTGTAGCAGGATCATTTTAATAGTGCGTACCACGGAAACACCTAGGCAGCCAACCTTTTCGTGAGGATACGATTTGAATTGAACTGCCATAATATTCGGCGGTCTTTATATTTTCGGCCACTGGTGCATCTTTCAGGACATCAGCTGCGATAAATACAAGCGAAATAGAATTGCAGTTATCATCTCTAACGTGGCTCACTGTCTGTGTGGATACCGGAAAATTCTGGATAACTGTATAGCGCTTTTTCCGTACTTGGAATTCCTATTTATTGCAATGCAAACGATTGCTACAATCTGTTGTAACAACGCTTAAACTGTGAGTAATTATTAATTGGATATATTATAAATTAAATGTGATATGACTGATAAAATATTGATATGATTTAGAAATATTGTTAGAAAAATAAAACAAACATTTAAATTATTAAAAATTGCATTTATTTTTTCAAATAACTTAGCTTATTAAGTATTACAATCTGAAAGGTGTGCCAAATGGCTGCATTCTGAAACCTGGCGGAAATTAAATGGAAGATCCTATGTTTCGGCACTATTAACATTTGCCCCGTCGACTGGATAGTGAATGCAGGGTTGCGTAATGTTAAACGTTAAGTCATTTTAGCAATTCAAAGATTTTTAAACGACTTTGAGCAATCCAAAGATGTTCCTTTTGTCTACAGAACGAACCCAAAACTATTGTTATGTGTCAATAATATTCTTCTCTAAACGGCGTTGTTATCTAAAAGTAATCGAAACGATGCTAGCAATCATGTCCATTATTATTTTTATTAACGTTTTTCGATGATATTAAAGCGCAATCCGTGTTCGTTGCGTTCTCTGACTAAACTACAAATCTGGTATGATGAAATTTTTCTTTTACGATTGTCACACTTAGGAAATGAAATGTTTTTACAAAATAGGATTTAGTTTCCGGGGTTCCGATTGTTGCGAATTTAACCTCGCGGTTCTATTTCTAACCGAAAGAATACAGCTTTCTCTCAGGAAGAAAAAATCGATACCTAGTTAAATTAATACATCCGCTTAAACACTGATCATCGCGACGAATTAGTTAACTTAATTGTTTACTGCCGCGATTATATTTCATTCTAAATGGTTTAATTCCACAAGAATTAGGGAAACAAATTGTTTTGTTGCTATCCGCTTTGTTCAAGTCCATTAGTTTTAAATGCGTTATTGTGATTTATTTCGCTTTAATTTAGCTACGCTCTTAGCAAGACATTTGGAAAAATTAAATAAATAAAAATGAACATCTTGAATAAATACACTAATTACTTAATTTTAACTGAACTCAAAATACAGTAACCTGCAAATTATAGTCTAAGACTTGGGGAAAAATTACTCAATTTTTAAAATATTAAAGAACATAACAAATCATGCAAATATATCGCTCTTCATCTTAAATGAAAATATAGAAGCTATTGTTGCTAACTAAAACTAAATCGTTACTCTCGGGGGGGGAAGAAAATTAATTATTTGTCGAAGAAATTTTTCGACACCTTACAAAGCCGGAGAAATTTTTCGACAAAACTGGAGAAATTTTAACCCGAAATTTACTTTAAATTACAAAGCAGAAGAAATTTTTTGACACAACGTAAGATGTGGCATTTTTTTCTTCATGTTCGTTCGAAGCGTAAAATGTTGTAAAAAGAAAGCACGTAAAAATATTAAAACAATATATAATGTAACCATCTAAGTAAAAATTAAAAAAGAGAAATTTTTGTTTTATGAAAACTATTTATCCAAGCAATGGACCTAGACGGTCACTCTATTCAAACTTTATTTAATTTTATTACCTGGATTCTATACATTACTCTTCCAGAGATTAATTACTGGCTGACCGCGTATGTCTCTCAACCCATATATCACCGGTAACCAAAGGCTTGTCGCCCAGATGGTATAGTGGTTAGGGGAGCCTACTAGAGTACCGAAGGGCCAGATTCGAATTCCGGAGAAGGCATGGGTATTTGTAAATATATAGTGTCGGTGCGGCATGGCAGCACTTTAAATATACGGCTAGCCGAAATTCCTCTTTTGTGGATTGCTGGAAGAAGAAAGGGGTGGAACACCCCCGGATCCCCCACGGGGTGCTGCCCCTCAAAGTTGGGGTGCAAAATAGAAGTCCAACCTCTCTTTGGAGTACTCTCGGAAGTAATCTTTGGATTACTTTTGTTTCTTTGTTATTTATTTATTTGTTTTGCATTTTATGGCTACATTTATTTTTAATATATGTGTTTATTTCTATATGCCATTGCCGCTGAATCCGCCAACGTTCAGAATATAACAATAGCTTGAAAGCTCATGTCTTAATACGCCTGTGGGAGTTCGGGCGAGTTTTTACAAACGCCCCTTGGTACCTCAAGAACTCTGTCCAAAGCAAAGGTGTGAAAATAGTGTCACAAGTTGTTCCAGCAAGTCTCTGTTTTTCCTGAACTTTTATGTAAAATCACATCCCCACTCAGCCATGCACTCCTATCTACATTTAACGGTAATTCAAATACCACAAACTTTAATTCTTTCTTCTGCTCTCTCCTAACACTAACGCAAATGCCTTCACGTCATTATACAGATTAAAAAGTTATTACAGAAGTTTACCATCAGCTTCTTGATACCTGGTAGTAAAATTTCTAAAGTAAATATTAAATTGAAAACTAAGAACCTGGTTCCTATGTTAACAAGTCTTCTAGAGCTAAACTGCCACAAACGAAAGCTAAACTGTCCAACAAACAGTACAGCACTAATGTAGATTCAGAGTTGCAGCGCTGCTTACATTTTGTCTCATTACTTAAATTAATTTAAGTTGCATTTTCAGTTTTTCAGTTAATTTTCAGTTTCATTTAATTTAATTAAGTCGAAGCTGACCGAGCACACAAGAGCAAGAAAAATTTAACATAAGGAAATTAACATATTAGTTAAAATAAACTTTTGTAATTGGCCAATTAAAAGATTTACGCTCTTTTCATCTTTCTTTCTCATTTTATGTGCAAACGTACTCAAGAATTCGAACCGAGTGCTATTCCAATGAACTTTCCTCAATTCGTTTTTATACATTGTATTGCCCAAACATTCAGTTTAAAGACAAGATGGAATGTGCGACGTGTGAGATCCAAAACCTTTTTTTTTAATGCAGGTACGAGACCAAAATCCTTTTCCCAGAACTGATTGTGATTAAAGAAAGATATAGTACATCTTAATTTGTTTTAGTAATTATTTCTTCTGTGTAATGTATAACATAAAGTTCCCAGTTTGATTTCAGTCTTTTTTAATAAACTTTTTGTCTTAATGAACTTTAAGAACTTAAGTTAAATCTCAGTAAGCGTCAAAGACTTTTATATCCGGTTTTGCTTAACCTGTTTCCACCCTTCCAACGTCAGTTTACTCTGAATTGCAAATATTATTAAAAAAGGTACAGAATCAAATGCATGAAAACAAAGTAAGCGGCAAAATTAAAATCCAGTACAAAGTATACGACATATAAACACGTATGTACCAAAGGATATGAGAAATAAATAAATAAACGATTAAAAGTAAATATATAACTTTGTCAAATGCAAGCAAATAAATATTTATATAAATTACGAAAACATTAGAGGCTTAAGTCTCTAATGCAAAATTTACTGTTGTTCATTACACAGTTATATTGTTACGAATTTGGTATTTAAAAAGCTAATGTTAGTTCAATTATAAATTAAATGGTTTTATTTCTCGCGCAGTGCAGCGCGTGACGAATATTAAAAGAAAGCTAAGCCGGAAAATTTAAAAATACAAGATGCGCGTGCGTTAAATAAATAAAATATCTCTTTTTGATTTCGAGAAAGTGCTGGAAAATTCTAGCGCGTGATTTTAAAATCTTATAAAAGGAGGAAAACATCTCAGTTTGTAGTAGTTGCTTAGTTTGTTGTTGTTTAGTTAGAAAACTGCTCTTGTTGATTGTAGCGAATTCGCGGATTAGCGTTCTTTAGCTGTTTTGAATACGTTCTATTGGACATTTTGAGTAGTTAAAAGATAACTACTGTGAGATATTGTAATAATACTGCATGATAATTTGAGAAAATTTAAGCATTTTTGTTGTGATAATAATAAATTTTTGTTCATTTTTCATCGGACTTGTGCATTCATTTCATAACGAACCCGTACGCACGCAACAATTTTTGGTGTCAGAAGTGGGATCTTTTCGTTTTTCTCTTGAAATATAATTACAGTTTCCATGATGTTCTCATCATCAGATCGAAGTATCCGTCTTCATCAATCGATGCGCTTACTCCTGTGTAATAATCGATAAATTCTTCTTTTGTTACGACGCCATCGACAACTCCGCTTTCCTCGAAATTCTTCAGAAACCTATTTAATAGTTGCTTTTCATTAACTTGTCCATTTAAATAGTCAGGATGTTTATGAACAGAATATATTCCCTTTAAGTCCTCATAAGTGATTTTACCGTCACCCGTTTTATCCATTTTTTCAAAAGCCTTCTCCACTAAGGCCAATCGGCTAGCACTCATTTTCGGCGTCACAGCTCTGAGAAATTCATCGTAATGAACGACTCCCGATCCATCTTTGTCGAATTGCTTAAAGAGGTTTTCGGCTTCTTCGTCGGTTATGTTGAGTCCTGTGTCACGAATGCCTTTCACGAATTCTTCCATATTCAAATCCCCGCTATGGTTGTCATCCATTCGTCGGAAAACTCTTCCTAAGCCAAGGATACCTTTAGCTCCCCTCTGTAGACATAAAAGGCGTAATTTCTCCAGCGGGTCGTCAGTAGCCATCAGCTGCTTGCCCGCCCTCTCCTTCATTACTTGCTCGTTTCTAGTTTGTGCAGATAGCGGTCGCGGCATAATTCAAAATAAATGTCCTTATTAAACCTGTAGTTCCAGAACCCTATGAATGCAGTCGACAAAGTTGGATCGGGAGTTCACACGGCATATGTGGCGGATATTACAGATCCATGCATACTCGGATTGGACTTTTTAAGGAAATACAATTTTTCCTTAGATTTCAAAAACAATAAGCTGCTTTCAGCATCTGATGGCATGACTATCCATCCTCAAAAGGGATCCTCGCCTGGAAATGTCGACGCCTTGTCCGAAAGATCGAGCTCGGGAAGCTGCCGAAATCATACCAGGGTCGAAAAGAAACTCAAGACTACCAGCTATTCTCCATCCCAGAAGCTCTTCGGTCGAGACCTTCGTCTGCCTTGTGACCGCCTGTTTAGTCGCCCTACGGATGCGCCTTCATCGCCTGAGGAACACATCCAAGATGTCCAGGCCCGGTTTGAAGTGATGCACCGTTCCGCACGAAAGCGAGTCAACTTGGCGACGGAGAAAATGAAGACCAGATACGACACAAGAGCTACTAGACATAGATTCCAACAAAGGAGACAAGGTGTGGTTGTGGAACCCGATTCAACGAAAAGGACTTGAGTCCTAAATTACAGTCACCTTGGGATGGTCCATATACAGTCCTGAACACGAATGACGTCGTGGTTCGGATCCGTGAGTCTTCGAACTCTTACGACAGGTTAGCTTATTACTATGGCCATAGTACGTAATGTAAATAATTGTAAATAGTATCAGACCATGGTCCTTTTTGTTTTTTTAAATGTGTATTTGATTTGATTTGTATTTAGTATTTGATTTGCATTTAGTATTTGATTTGTATTTAGTATTTGTTTTGTATTTAGTATTTGATAGCATTTGATTTGTTTAAGTTAGTTATTGCATTTATTGTTCATGTTGTTTGATATTGTAATGTAATTTATGCCACAGTTGTAAGTTTAGCTTCCTGTCCAGGGATTGTACTGCCCGGGACGTGCAGTCCTTGGGAAGGGGGCAGTGTTACGAATTTGGTATTTAAAAAGCTAATGTTAGTTCAATTATAAATTAAATGGTTTTATTTCTCGCGCAGTGCAGCGCGTGACGAATATTAAAAGAAAGCTAAGCCGGAAAAATTGAAAAATACAAGAGCGCGTGCGTTTAAATAAATAAATATCTCTTTTTGATTTCGAGAAAGTACTGGAAAATTCTAGCGCGTGATTTTAAAATCTTATAAAAGGAGGAAAACATCTCAGTTTGTAGTAGTTGCTGCTTAGTTTGTTGTTGTTTAGAAAACTGCTCTTGTTGATTGTAGCGAATTCGCGGATTAGCGTTCTTTAGCTGTTTTGAATTACGTTCTATTGGACATTTGAGTAGTTAAAAGATAAACTACTGTGAGATATTGTAATACTGCATGATAATTTGAGAAAATTTAAGCATTTTGTTGTGATAATAATAAATTTTTGTTCATTTTTCATCGGACTTGTGCATTCATTTCATAACGAACCCGTACGCACGCACAAATTTTTAAAGCCACAGAAAAGTAGTTAGTAGAAAAACGCAGATACAACAAGCGAACGATAAATAAAAACAAAATCTCTAATAATTTCTCATGATTAACTTTCCCGACATCGCTAACGGAAATTCTGAAAGCTGTGGGAAGAGAATTACGAAAATTCTTTCGGATGCAGCACCTCGGAGCAAGTTAATATAAAAATTGATGAATACTTCCGAAATAAATCCATGTTACTTTTTCAGAGAAGAGATGTCACGAAAGTTCCGGATTTCCCCACGGATTCGCAGCTCCACAGTAAGAAATCAAAACTAATGCGGTAAGATTGCGAAAGAATTCTGTAGAAAATATAGAAAATATTTCTCGCCCACTGGTATTTAAATCTGGTCTGTATGAAACAGATTTTTCCAGACAGCAAAATGTAAACAGGGTGTTTGAGGAGTGGAGGAGGAAAATGAAATATATAAGAGAGAATACCCGAATTCACTCTCTCTGAGTACTGTAAAAATCCTGGATCGCTTGAGTTCCTTTTGAGGCCACTTGTTGATAATTTATTATTTTAATAAATTTAACTAATATAGTGCAATGAACATATTTTGAAAATACATATTTTGAAACGTGCAATTAAATTAACTCAGACTAACTTTCTGATGTAAAAATTAGGCTAAAATATTCCGAAAATACAGAAATTATAAACATTTTTAGAAAAAAGGTAACTACATAAATTGTAAGGAATTATCGAATATCCCTGTGTATGTCGTAGGGGTGTAAATGGCTACCCTGTCCAGTTTGCAGTTGAAACATCGATTATGCACAATGGAAAACACAAATGGTTTTTACTCTTTCTGCACCAAGCAAATGTATCTGCAGTGAACAAATAATCTCAACAAAGTCAGAAGGAAAGCCTTGCTTTAAGGTTTAAGCATTCAAATCCTGTCAAAAAACACTTCATATTGAACTATATGCACTTCAGTATTCAAACTCAAACGTCGAACCAACTCTTAATTATTTTCTCAGGCCTAATTTCTCGGGCGTTTCTTAACTTGTGGTCCGCGAACCACAAGAAGTTCTCGAAGCCTCCCCTTGTGGTCCTTCTTCCTTTTGTTTTAATTAATTATATTTTAAAAATATAAGTGTAATGGTAATAATATACTCGTGCTAAAAAATAAGTAACGAAAGCTGAATGAAGAGGTACGAATATAAAAGGGGAATTAAATCATGCATTTTACATGTGAGTTAGAAGTTATATCGCGGAATGCAAATAGGCTACAAAAATTAGCATAGAACGCAATCCCGCAGTCACACCATAACAACTTAAATTGGGGCGTGACTGATGACTCAGTTCGCAAGCAGCGACTGTTCCGTGTAATCCGAAATAGGCAAAACTGAAAGCATGAGCTGAAGACCTTATTTGCACGATGAAATACGCTGGAGAGCTATCGAGATGTTGCAACCTTATACAAGACAACCCGCTGTTGCGAGAGAGCTGAATGTGCATCCCAGTGTCATCAATAGGCTGTGGAAACGTTAACAAAGGTATCGAAACCGCTGTAGAAAATGTAGATCTGAACACCGGGGGATTAACACGACGACAAACGATTCTTTCCATTTGCTATGTGAAACACGGTGTAGATCACTAACAGCACTACAGTTGGCGTCATATCTCTCTGCTGCTATATGTCAGCCCATATTTCTTAAAATTGTGTCAAGTCGACTACATTAAGATGGATTGTATGCCCAATGACTTGTTGTTTGTGTTTCTTTATCCCTATCGCATGTCAGAGCGCGTTTGAATTGAGACCATGAACATCGCTGTTGGACACCAGAGCAGTGGATCCACGTACTCTTTACGGACAGTCTCGATTTAACATCAAGAACGCTGATATGGCGAGAGTAAGGAACACGCTATCGGACGCCAAGCATCGTCGAAAGAGACTTTTATAGAAGAGAAAGCTTATTTGTATGAGCTGGGACAGCAGCGAACGACCGCACCGACATCTGTGTGATAATTGGTATTTTCATCACAACTGTCCGATATTGCGACGAAATTCAACAGCCTCTTGTTCGCCCTTTTTTGCTGCAATGCATACCGATGAGGTATTTATGGACGATAACGCCCGTCCGCATAGACCTCAAGTGATTCAGAGTTATCTAGAGAACGAAACCTTTCCTAGATGATCAGACATTTTTTAATGTGGCTGCTAGATGATCAGACATTTATTAATCCCACAGAGCATGTTTGGCACATGTTGGGACTACGGACAGCAAGTCGCTTTGTGCCTCCAAACCCTCTCCACTAACGCTGACATTCATTAATATAGGAATGAGCACTATTGCTACAATAAGTGATCTACGACGCTATTACCAGCTTGCCTCACAAATGTCAAACATGCATTTCAGCCAGAGGGTATCATAGTCGTTATTAGCTTGATCTTCTGATTGCACATCCTTCCGACACGTTTGGTATTTCGCGATGTGGTGGTCTACATGTGTTTTTGCATAGCTTTGATTTATTGTTTGTTATGTGGTCTAGCAATGCAACACCAACACCTTGGATCAATTTGACGCATATCCATTAAATAGTTTTTGTTTCTGTGTTTTGTCTTTGCTGCTTTTTTTTTGAACAGAAGTTTTATAATAGTTGCTGTCCAAAGGGACAAGACTGATGTGATCCTCAGAAGGTTCTAATTTGTATAGTGGACCGGAGTGTTGAAGAGACAGGAAGGATGATCATATTACGAACTACGTTCCCATGCAGTCCGAGGCACATGTACAAATATACTCAAGTCGGTATGATCGCAACCGTCATCGTGTAAACTTTTATGTAACCTTTTTTATTCAGTTCAAGCAAAAACCTATCAAACTTACAGACGTTATTATGAAAAACGACATATTTGAGAGGCTTTTGAATATATTTGATTGAATGGCAAAAGCGACGCCTTCCACAAGCAAACCTATTAGTAAGCTTTAAATAGAAAAATACGACAGACCTTTATATTTCTAAAACTGTTTCAGGTGCACATCATCCTTTTAAGTAGATTAAGAACATTTGCAAATACGTCACCAAAGACAGCGAAATGGCCGTTTACCGGTTAACCGAAGAAAATGCGGCAGATAAAATGACTCAGATGGAGAATTATATTAACATGAATCAGGCTATTTGACATCTCTTAAATTTTCTCCTAACGATACCCAGTTGTTGTTCGCTTAAGCGCTCACTTAGAAATCAGACAGAGAGTATACTTTAGGAACACAGATAGAGACTTAGAAATCAGACAGAGAGTATACTTTAGGAACACAGATAGAGATTTTGAAATCAGACAGAGAGTATACATTAGGAACACAGATAGAGACTTAGAAATCAGACAGAGAGCATACTCAAGAAAATGCTTAATTGGATTCCATCACAATATAAACAGCGTTTTTGTAGCTGGGTCAGAAATATGCATTTGCCAAGACCCTCTGCATCGAAGTACCTTACGCTACGTCAAAGTACCTAACAGGCACAACTGTTATAAGTCACAAAATGTCTTCTGTAGGATGAATGAGGAAGCTTA